AGACGGTAGTCCGGCGGAGGTGAGGGCCTCAAGTGGTGGTTCGGCGGAGCAACGACGTCAGGAGGTGGTCCGGCGAAGGTGAGGGCCTCAAGTGGTGGTACGGCAGAGGAACAGTGTCAAGTGGTGGTCCAGCGGAGGTGAGGGTCTCAAGTGGTGGTCTGGCGGAGCAACGACATCAGGCGGTGGTTCGATGGAGGTGAGGGCCTCAAGTGGTGGTCCAGCAGAGCAACGGCCTCTGGCGGAGGTGAGAGCCTTAGGTGGTGGTTCGATAAAACTCCGGCGGTGGTCGAGGAGGAGCTTCTTCCTTCTCTTCCTTCTCTTCTCTTCTTCTCTTCTTTATTGGGTTCCCTTTCAAGAGAAATGAGGGGTCTATTTATAGATTTCTGGAGTGGCATGGCCCGTAAATAGGTGAGAGATCAAGGGTAAATGGAGAGTTGTTTGATGAACTGCCGATGTTGAATCCCTTGATTGTGGACCTTTCATTAGAAAATTGAAGGTTTTAATGATGTCGAAATTCGACGATCTTGGGCTCGTTGGATTCGTCTCGTCGAGGCGCTCGATTCGATTATAAGCATGTCATGTTTGGAAACCGTTTAGAAACTCAAATTGTGGCTCGAACCTCCAACAGCACTTCAGTTCCTTGATTTGGACCCATTTGGGCTCGGATTGAGTCAAATTTGGTGTCGTTGGGTTCGTATTTCTGAGACGTTCAATTCGACTGTATGTTTGCTGAAATCAAAGTTCAAATGGCCCCAATTTTAATTTTGGAAGTTTCCAAGTTGATTTTGCATCGAGATTCGTGCCTTGATCAAGACAATTTTTTGATAACGTATCAATGTTGATGCTTATATATAAGGCATATCAAACTTAAATAATCTTAACATTAATAAAGATAATGTTCAAATTCTCTTGTTCATTAAAATTCTTCAACTAAATTGATTATAAAAGTCATCATTGTGCTTCCATCAAATTAAACTAGCAAAGAGGCTTCATTGAACTTAGAATCCGCTAATAAAAGTCATCATTATTAAGGTAAACTTGATGATATTATTAAGTCACCCTAATATGAGCAAAAAAATTCATAACCTTAGTGCTTTACTAGACAAAATCATCCAAAACTTTTAGCATAACAACTTACCAAAACTTACATAATACATATGAATGTAAAAATGAATCAAGCATTCACATTAATTTTCCTTTTTTTTTTTTTTAATAGGCTTCATTTGGTATGGCTTTCTTACTACTTTTTTAAACAATTTCTTAATATAAAAATTAAATTTTTTTGCATTAAAAAACTGCTTTAAAAAACAATAAGAAAGCCTCCCAAACAAAGCCTTAATTAATAGCAATGAAGAATAAACTTTATTTTATTGTAAACATTAATTTAAGTTTTATTATAAAATTTATTCATTTAATCTTAAATCTTTTACCTATACTCCAACTTATAAATAAAGATCAAAAAGCAAACCCACAATAGATGTATCATGTCTCAAATTCCTTTTTTTTTTTTTTTACAATAAGAAGCCACAGCTTCCATCATGTTGCTCTCACACATTTCATAATCAATCTTACCAATAGAATCCAAGCGTTATTCATATGCAAATCTAAATTCAAGCTTCGTTCCTGCTTCTTAAAGCAGCTTTTCAGTGCAAAAATATTTGTACTGAAAAGCCGCTTTAAGGAGCATGAAAAAAGCCGTCCCAAACGAAGCCTTAATAACACATATTATTCTGAATTATAAAGCAAAAAATTTTATATAATCTAAACACAATGATGCCCATTCAATAACAGTTCACATCTATTAAAAAAACAATTAACAATACAAAAGAGGCCACTTATTCAATAAAAAGGATTTGCTCCCATGCAAGAACTAATTAGCCTTTGAAAAGTGCCAGATCTTACTTACATTGAGATTATCATACACACAGAACGCCTGAATTTACAGAAAGCTATTTCGTTGATGTCTTCTGCAAAGCATCCTTACAAAGAAGTGTTAAAACGTATACAGACTGATAATCATAATCCCCCGTTGCGTACAATAAACTCAGCTCTCTAACAAAGGATACGCATCATTTTTACAATATTCCTTCGATCCAGTAATGAAGATTCCAACCTGAATGAACAGATAAAAGCAAAATTGAAAGTTTACATATTTCAGAATCGAGCTGAAACAAAAAATTTTAAGTCAACCAAACTTGCTGTTTTGAGTGCCAAACTGGAGAGAAATATAAAAAAAATGCAATTTCTAAGCACTAGAAGCTGCAGGACCTCATTTTTTAGAGAAACTATTACATGCATATTAAGGCTTGGATTGAGACGACTTTTTTACTGCTGATTAAAACGGTTTTTTAGCACAAATAAATTAATTTTTGTACTAAAAAGCTAATTTAAGAAGCAATAAAAAAGCCGTCACAAACGAAGCCTAAGACTTCATTTGGCGACGGCTTTCTTATTACTTCTTAAAACAATTTTTTTAGTATAAAAATTTTTCGTTGGGACACCTTTCTTACTGCTTCTTAAAGCAGTTTTCTAGTAAAAAATTAAAAATTTTGTACTAAAACATTAATTTAAGCAGTAAGAAAACCGTCCTAAACGAAGCGTAAGTTTTACTAGCATGAAAAAAAATGAGAGAATGTAATCCCATGTAGAACGTGAAAGACTAATCCCCCGTTGCTACATTTTAATGCATTATGAACCTTTGCCATGTCTTTTAAGAGTAATTTATATTTCTTGAGATTTGATGAATTCTTATGCGTTGGTAATGTAGATGGTTACATGCCCTACATAAAATGGGAAAATATTTCAGTCATGCTTATGTGGTTCAAGGGAATCAACAAAACTCATTTTGTGTAAGTTTATACAGGAAGTATAACTTTATTCATCTTTTGATCCCATGAAATAAAAATTTCTATAAAAAACAACTATCCATTTTACTCTTCAGTTATTCCATGCCTACCTTTGACAACATCATCATATCTCATCAAGAATATTATTTTGTATTTTTATTGAAGTCATTCTTGCTATCCATAATTTATCATGGGATAACTAATTAGTAAATGTAGGCATCAATGAGACTGATAAGAAAATCTGAATTAATTCCTGGTAAATCTAGATCTACAATCCACATGACAATAGCTTCCAAAATACATGTTAGGACACGGTGGAAGAGTACTTTTTAGATTGCAATTTCAACTAAGGCTTCGTTTGGCACGGCTTTCTTATTGCTTCTTAAAGTAGCTTATTAGTATAACAATTAAATTTTTTGTACTAGAAAGTTGCTTTAAGAAGTAGAAAGAAAGCCGTCCCAAACAAAGCCTAAATCTTCATTTGGGACGGCTTTTTACTGCTTCTTAAAGTGGCTTTCTAATACAAAAATTAAAATTTTTGCACTAGAAAGCCGCTTTAAGAAACAGGAAGAAAGCTGTTCCAAACGAAGCCTAAATCTGTAATAGCATACATAGTTAAAGCATATAAAAAGAAGGAAAGAGTGTGTATAATAATTGGACAAGAATGCAAAAAATGGTAAATTAAGTTAAAAGGTTTGAAATAATGCTACAGAATATAGCATTGATGATATACAATAACTAGTGACAATTGTCCATCCTAGAGTTATTTTGACATTCATGAATCAAGCACGAATCTAAGTTCAGTGATCAAATATCAAGAGTAAGCACAAAACATAGGATTTACATAAGATGTACAAAGCCTTTTGATTATTTTTATAGAAGAGTTGCACAATAAAAAAAAAAATACATGGATTGAAAAGGAAGAGATAAATACCAGCAGATTACATAGCCATTTCAGCTTGTAATGCAGCAAGTTCGTCTTCATCAGCAGTGTTTTTCTGGGCTGTAGGGCGAATCTGTTGTCTGCCTGCAGGAACAGTGTGTACAGAAGCACCAGGAGCAGTTGTAGCTGGCTCAAGAAGCATTTCCTCCAGGTCAGCTCCTTCCAACTCCTCAAGCTCAGCCTCCAATTCATCCTTGATAGGAAAAAAAATGAGTAACATGCGACCCAAAATAATAGTGAGAAAAATCAAATAAAAAATGATGCAAAATATGTGAGAAAAAGTACTTCATCAAAATCAGCAGCTGCTCCAATTGGAGCAGCTAGTGCTTCCTGAATTTGCTTCATGTTCTCAGTCTGCTCATTGATTTCATCCATAGTTTTGTCAACATCATCAATATTACTGCACAAAAATAAACATTATTAGTATTCATTACCAGATAGATCTTTTAGTTCTTAAAATTACAAAGCCATATTTACCATGCAACAAAGTGTCAAAAAATTTCCAAATAAGAAAACTTCATTGGCAAGTAAATCATTGCCGTGCACTTAAGATGCTACATAAGTGGCTTTCACAAGAAAATTCCATTTTTATAAAGATCAAGGAGAAACAATCCTCATTCAAAAGCTGTATTAATGGCCATCATTATCTGTGAAATTTTTAAACAAACCAGGCTTCCCAGTCTTTAATTAGCAAACTACGGACTTCATTTGCAATTTCTAAATTCTAAAGTGGTGTGTATGTAAGCGGAGATAGCCGTTGGGAATGGAAAGGTAAAAGATGATAGAAAGAGAAGTAATAGCAATATGGTTCCTTATAATATGATTGAATCTCTAGCAAGCCGATGTGAATTAAAGCTCAACTATACATGCCCACGTGAATGAATAAATATGTAAAGAACTAAACTATAAGTACTAGTGTAACAAATATATGGAGTTCTTTAGAGGCACTATAAAAGCATCAATAAAGTCCTCCACAACACTAATCCTTTTAAATCCTTTCGGATAAACTACTGCAAGCAAAATGGTAGACGCAAGCCACGTAACCTTCCTAAATAATTCACACAAATAATTCAGCAAAAGCATTAGACATCAAAATGCGGAGGCTTCGTTTGGGACGGCTTTCTAGTTGCTTCTTGAAGCAGCTGTCTAGTACAAAAATTTAATTTTTGTACGAAAAAGCTGCTTTAAGAAGCATCAAGAAAGCCGTCCCGAACGAAGCCGGAATAATAGAACTGATCTCAATAACTGACGTTGCTTTCTGCATGGCCTTCATTGCTGCTGCTCCCGTTCTCAATGCATCAACAGTCTCTGTCGTAGCTTTTGCACCTTCTAGCATAATCATCTAAAGTAATACCACATTCCATAGCAGTTAGAGCATCAATTGCGACGAATAATTAAGGACAGTTTAGGATCAGAAGGAAAAAAATATTTATAAGGACACCTGATCATGAATCCGTAATTGGAAATTCCCAAGCTGTTCAACTTGCTGCTCATAAAGTTTCTTTCGCTTCAAACATTGGATGGCAGCTAGCAAAGGTACAGAACAAATATCAGGATAAAAAACTCATGATATAAAGCTCATCCATGTCATCACATGCCAGATTGTAGAGTAAATTTTTGGTGCTGAAATAGTTATTAAAGGTGCAAAACTTCGAGATCCAAGAAAAGGATAGAAAAGAGATTAACAAGATAAAAGATTTTGTGCACATTTCTACAAATATGAACAATTCCTTCCAACCCCTGAGATGAATCATGGAAGAACCACTTTTTGACGGAAAAGCTCCAAAAAAAATACCAGCAGTTATAAGCCAAAGTAATCAAAGTTTTAAACACTCAAGTCAGATCAATGACATATATAACCAAAACTCCATTATACACCAAAATATTAACAAAAAAGCAAAAAAAAAAAAAAAGAAAGCTAAATCTGTGAGAACGGAAATCCATGTTTATCAACCACCACTAGTTTATTAAATGAAATAAACGACCAAATTGGTTCCTAGACTTTTTAGGTGAGACATTTTAGTCTCTATCTTGAACAATCATGATATCGACACATAAATAGAGGAGGAAGCACATTTGTTATTGATTTTAAACATAGAAATTATTATATTGTGAGTCTTGTAGACCCCATTATAAATTTGCAGAGAATTGGGCATAAAATATTATAGATTTATGAACCCTACTGACTTTGCTACTTGCTCGCAAAGGATTGGGCCCATGATAAATTACATACATATGGCATTAGGAATCATGTTCTGGAGCACTATTGAATTATAAACCCTATCAATTCAAGCCTTGTGTATAGAGTATCATGCAAAAAATTAAGGCTTACAACACTGCTCAATTAGTACAATGTGGAGTTTTCTTTTCAAATGAATTGAAGGCGTTGTGCAAATGCATTGCAAATATTGTAGTGAGAGTTGATGCCAAATATTTGATCTTAATTACACAATTAAAAAAAAAACTTATTTGACTATACCACAGGCCAAGAATGTAGATACAAGCCCTATCAACTTCACCCTTAGCACTTGGAGGATTGGGTTCAAGGATTAGGATATACAACCCTACACTATAGGCTGGGTGACCCATGAAATGTTTTTTCCTTTATTTTTTTACAATTTGGACCTTCTCCGAGATGTAGACTCAATCAACACTACTCTTAGCACATGAATAATCGAGTTCATGGATCAGACTAGTGACCTTATTTGTCATAAGTAAGGTGGCCCAAAAAATCTACGTTTAGTCTTTTGCACAGTGTATCGTCATCAAGACTCTAGCTCTATCAACTGCACTCTCTTGGCACGTAAAAGATCGAATTCATGGATTGGCACTTACAACCATACCCAATGGCAATGTAGCCCGAAGAGCTTACTTTTAATTATTTTGTAATTTTGATAATTGTCGAGGAGCAAGCCCCTATTTGATGAGGACATCGGAGATCAACGGCTACGATTTTTTTAGTTATTTATTTATATGTTTTTGTACTAGTTTATTTTATATTGTTGTTTTTCCCTTTTTACCCTTATGGGTGGTCATGTAGTGTTGTAGCCCGAAGGGCATTTTAGTCTTTGTTATTTTTCTTTTCATGAGGCCTATTTATAGGCTAGCTTTCTTGTATTGAGGTTTCGGCCAAAGGAGAATCTCAGGATTTGGAATTATTTCCAAAGATGTGGCTTGGCTGTTAGAAAATATATCCTATTCTAAATCCCAAATGGGAAAAAAGGGATTAGAAAATAAATCCAAGGGATTTATTAAAGAGAGAAGCCGGTGGTTAATGATAGAGGAGGAGATTGGGGAGGTGATTTTGGGTGCTTAATTTAAGGCTTTAAAATTTAGTAAAGTGTTTAAATATATACTATTTGAATTTGAAATTCAAATAAAATTCATTTAGTAACTTTCCAAAATTTGAATGATGAATTAGGAAGGAATTCAAATTTCGAATTAGTTGAATTTGAATTTTGAAAACCGCCCTAAAATTAAATCACCCAAATTAAATTTGAATACTGTCATGAATGAGACTCAATACTTTCCTAAAATAGCTTTTTAATTTAGGAAAATATTTGAAATTCAAAATTTAAATTTCAAATGATGAAAATAATTTCCTAAATTATTTGAACTCTTTAGGTAAGCATTATGGTGGTATTGACTCTTCATTCATGGAGACAAACAAGGGTGGCCGGCGGTGGAGAGCTAATGGGGGAAGGTGGCCGGTGGCTATGGGGAAATTTTGTTGGAGCTTGTTATGGATGTTTGGTCCGTGAGGTTGATGGAGGAGGAAGAAGATGAAAATGATGACGGGGAGGGATAAGAAGGAAGAAATCAAAACAAAGATAAAACGAAAGATAAAAATCAAAACCGCGAGCCTTGGACTCTTCCGAAGATTGACGGGTGATCCGATTGCCCTTCTCTAAGGGACTTCAAATCACGAGTCCGGACCCATCCTGCAGCTGGTGACAACTTCGATTCCTCTCAAATGAATCTCACTAACGCTCTCTCACAAGAAGAACACAAGTGTCGAAAAACAAAATTTTTCATATCCATTAACCCTCCATTACAATAGCTTAAGGCCCTTATTTATAGGCCCCAATATGAGAAAAATAAAAAATTACAAAATTGCCCCTTGGGCCACCACACTCAAATAAACTAACCTAGGGTAGAACAGGAAATAACATAAAACAAAAGCTAAACTTCATAAAATAAATCATAAATGACAACGTAAATTAGAGCCGTCGATTTACGACGTCTCCTGTGATAGATGCGCCAAATCTTCATGTCGATGTCAGCATCAGGAACTATTTAGAAAGGTTTCTTAATTATATTTATATTATTTAGGAAGATTTCCTAAATTATGTGTGTTGTGGTAGCTAAAGGCTATTTAAGAGGGAATTGTCTAGGGTTTAGATCATGTTATTGATGAGTTTTGTGAGTGTTTGTTGTCCATGATTTTTGTGAAGGATTCTAGTAGCATCTATAATTTCGGAGAGAATGTCCTCCTCTCAAAAAAGGATCATTGCAAGTTGCTCGTTCGTATTTCATTTCTTATCAATAAAAATCCGTGGTTTGCTGAATTTCTCTTGGTTTGTTGGCAATTTTTTATACCAAGGCATATAAAATTGGTATCAGAACGGTGTCCTAGACCGAAATATCAAGCTTTCCTCGATGATTTCTCCTGAGTTTTTCCTCTATGTTTGCTGAATTTTGATGTTGGGAGGCCAGATTTACGTCAAAGTTGCCAATTTTTGTTGTTTAAACCTTGATCTGAGTACCGATGGTCGAAAAAAAAAGTTGATGTGTTGAAAAAAATGTTGGACGGGAAAGTAGGGCAACTACAAGCAGATGTGGGATTGATAAATCAACGTACTTCAGCGATAGAATCAAGGTTTGGGAACTAAAGATATGATGATGAAGAAAATGATTGAGATGCAGTTGAAATCTTCACCGCCGATTCCTAGGGTTGAACCAAAAGGAAAAGAAATTCTAGAGGAGATGATGAGAAAGCTCATGGAGAAGCGATCCAAAACCCCACCGACGGTTCCAATTGCTAACCCTAATCAAGATTTGATTGGGATTCCCTTGGCCGAATCTAAAGGGAAAGAGATCGAATGGAAGAGTTCAACGAAAAGAGCTCTTCTCATCAAGAGCCACCTCCTAGGACTCCGAGGAGAGAAATAGGGTTTTCGGATGCGGGATAACATGAAGGGAGCTTTACTGTCGAGGTGGTTGAGTGGTTAACCACTATGAGAGGCTTTTTGGGCAAAGAGAGTGGACGATTAGAGGAGGACGGGTCGAGCCATGGGGATCAGGTTATGCTAGGCGGATGGAAGAAAGGTGGAAATTTCACCCTCGATACACGGGGAAACATGGCGGATCACGACAACCGCTACACTGGTGGAGGAATAAGATGTTAGGGTGGTAGTGATCTTAGGGTGAAAAAATTGAAGATGCGAATAATTGAGCAGAAGAATAGTGAAAGTTCAATAAGTGATACACAAACTTTTTCCGAGGTTAAATAGATCGACAAAGGGAAAGATGTGAATGAAGAGGGCAAAGAAATAACTTGCAAAAGCCAAGCTGATGGTGATGATCATAAAATTTACTGCATCAAATTATCTGGAGCAGCAAAGATTTGTGAAAGAGAGCTAGAAAATCAAAACCATGTAGTTGTCTTTACCAGAGGGGAGTCTCTTCACGCAATTGAGAACCAAAACAACTATTTGGAAGAGGCTTTGAAAATGAGGAATCTTTTGGAGAAATTCAATGAAGACCATGGATTGTGCCCATCAACCATTCTTGGTGTACGTGGGCACATTTTTACAAGAAATATTTCATCTTTGGGATGGCTCCTGTCAAACCAAAAAACAAGTTTTGTGACAATTGGACAAAGGGTTCTGGCTACTTCATTAAAGGTTTGCTTCCAATGCAAGCATCGAGATGTATTTGACAGGATTTTTCACATCATTAGAGGTGACATAAGCAAGGCTTCACGTGGAATCAACCTAAGTGAGGATATCTTTGCATGATTCAACCCGACATTAAGGCAAGGAAATATCACCCACCATGAGCATATTCAGGTTGGGAAGGGTCGTGATCTTGGACTCAACCAAATCTCCATGTTTGAAGCAAAGGTTGCCTGTAGCAATGGAGATCTTCCGCAAGCTTTCTTACTACTTCATGACAGTAGGATTCTATGTCAGCTCAATGATGGTTGTTATCATAGTCCATCTTTTCCTTTATGGCAAGCCTTACCTGTCATTAAGTGGGCTTGACTCTGCCATTATGAAGCAGGCACTGATCAGAGGAAATAATCCTCTGAAAGCTGCTATGGCATCTCAATCTGTCATCCAGCTTGGTCTATTGATGGCCATAACCATCGTTATGGGATTAGGCTGAAAAGAGGATTCAAAACTGCATTGGGCGGCATAATCATCAAGCAACTTCAATTATACTTAGTGTTCTTTACATTCTTGCTTGGAATAAAATCTCATTGCTTTGGACGGACAATCCTACATGGCAGAGCAAAATATAGAGCTATTAGACGATGATTCATTAGGAGACATGTAAAGTTTGCATAAAACTACAAAATGTACTCTACAAGTCATTTTACGAAGGATCTGAAACTTATGTTGCTGCTAATTGTTTAGCAGATCTATGGATTTGCAACTATTGATTCAAAAACATTTAAGCTTCTCATTGCATCCATATGGTTTCTTGTTGTCACCTTGTTTTTGCCCCCATTTCTTTTTAACCTTTCTGGATTTGAGTGGAAAAAATAGTTGATGACAGGGATGACTAGAGCAGGTGGAGAAAAAGTGAAGGCAATTGCAATGATGTTAAACCGGTGAAAGATGGTATATTCTTTAGAGTGAAGCATGGCCAGATAATGAAGGATCTAGAACTGGATCACGTGCTGGTTCTCACATGAAGCAGATTTTGTTGTTAAAACAGATGATCATGAGACAGTTCCTTTCGTTATACCTTGAGGACAATGTGGCTCTTTGGGAGGGGAATATTGATACGCCAAGGAGGTCCACCTTGTGGGCCCAGGGGAAGATATTTAGAAGATTCTTAATCAATAAGAGTTGTTTAGAAAGGTTGCTAATTAAGGGGGAACTATCTATGAAGTTTTCATAATTATGTTTATATTATTTATGAAGGTTTCCTAAATCATATTTAATTATTTAGAAATGTTTCCTATATTATGTTTATACTATTTAGGAAGTATTTAATTCTTTAAGAAGGTTCTATTTGTGTTATGGTGGTTAGGGCTATTTAAAGGGGAGTTGTCTAGGACTTAGATCATGTTATTGATGAGTTTTTGAATGTTTATTGCCCACAATTTTTGTGAGGGATTCTAGCGGCGTCTAGGATTTGGGAGAGAATGTCCTCCTTTCGAAAGAAAACCATTGTATCTTGCTCGTTCGTATTTCGTTTCTTATTAATAAAAATTTGTGGTTTGCTGAATTTCTCTTGATTTGTTGGCTATTTTTTATACCAAGACGTATCAGTATACACAATGCTTTAGAAGAAGTTGGATGTTTGAGATAGAGAGTAAGTAGGCACACTATTTAGAGTTATTAAATAGGAGTCGGAGTTTTCACAAAAAGCCATACACACCATTTCAAAACTACCATAACTACAATTTTTGCATCAACATGTTCATCGAAAATGGTTTGGTGAGTTGGCATGCTTTTCAACCCGACACATTTTTTGTGCACCTTAATTTGAATTGGAATTAGCTTTGCAAAGTGGGTCTACCATTTTAAAATTATCCAAATTTAAATTTTAGTGATTTTGTTGATAGCTGCTGCAATGTAATTAGAATGTGTGTGCAGCTTCGCCAATGAGCACATTTATTTGTACTTTGGTTGCTTCCATGCTTTTTGGGGCACACCTATGCACTTTTTGCTGCACATTTATGAGTACATTTTTATTTATTTGCAAGTTAACTTTCGAGTTTATTTTTGTGAACATATTGCAATGTGAAATTTTAATGACAGCTTAAAAAGATGTCATTTTGTTTATATTTTATTCATGCAGGTACTTTGGCAGGTCCAATGAGAAGAACTCATGGCTATAAGAAGGGCTGTCTTACATATCATTTTCATGTCCCACTTCAAGTTCATGGTGTTCCAGGAAACAACAAAGAGTTCTTGATTGCATTCATTGGTGAGTCGCCAAGGTCCGTAAGTCCATTTCATTTCATATCTCCAAAAATAAATCATCTAATTTAGAACTCTCCTGTCCAAAATTTGGAATAAGATTTTCTGATTTGACAGCACCTTAAAAGACGCATGAAATGGTCCATTTAAAAGCATGCTATACTCTAAAGCAAATCTTGCAGATAAAACTCCATTAAAATAAATTTGTCAACAAAGGTAAGCAAAAGGTGCGGCAGATAATATTTCATAAAAAAACAATTCAGACTCCCTCTCCAAAATGTATTCCCATTATTTAAAATAAATAAATAAAATCATGCAGCTATTACCCTCCAAATCTCAACTATCAATATGCATACCTTCAGTCACTAAGTCGATCTAAAAACATGGTGAACTTCAGCTGAAAGAAAACATACTACACAATGCTAGGGGTGTAAGTGAGCCGAGCCAGGTTGAACTCGACTCGATAATGAGCTAACGATCCACGAGCTTGAGCTCGAGCTCAAACCATAGCTCGTCTGTTAAACGTGCTCGAGTTCAAGCCGGCTCGAACTACTGTTTGGATTTTTTTTTAAATAATAACATATTTATTACATTTAAAAATTTCATTAAAAAAAAAGTAAAGACTACAGAGGCACTGAAAATCTCCAAAAATTACAGCTAAAAAATGTTGCAGCTTTAATTATTACTAAAGCAGCCGCATCTTCAAAAAAATCATATAAAATATGAAGCATATGTTCCCAAAGCTCCAAACATTAATTATCCAGAGAGGAAAAAGCTACAGTTTTTTTCTGTACAGGAAAAAATGCAACAGCAAGCTTCTTCCCGTCGATGAAAAAAAGCAAATCGTCTTCTTCTTCTCCTCCGGCTGTGATGGCATCGGCAGTTGACCGATTTTTTTACGGTGAGCTGGCTAGTGAGCTTGTCTTTAATGTACGAGCCAAGCTCGAGCCCACCTTTTGAGCTCGACTCGACCTCGACCTCGAGTTCGAGCTACCGAAATGGTAGGCGAACTGAGCTCGAGTTAGGCATGAGCCAAGCTCGAGTTAGGGATGACTCGAGCTCGGCTCAACTCATTTACACCCCTAAACAATACTACACAAAAAGAAGGTTGTCAGGTAGTTTCAACAAACTACTTTATCGGTTAACCTAAAGAACTTATAAGTATTATTGGTCCTGAGTAGATTTCTAAAAATGTCGTGAAATCTAATAAAAGCACATTTGTGGTGTAATTGTGCTCTCTAGAAGGTAAAATAAAGTAGAACGGATCTTCAAAATCAATCCAAAATGCATCAAAAGGTGACCTGATGAACGTATCTAGCTTAATATGATGGATATCACAGAATCAAAACTTTCACAAGCATTCGTGGTCAGCAAAAGGGATGATTGATCACTGTGTTGATGGTAAGAAATATGGAGAGTAGTTTTTTTGTTTGGGCACAATTGCATGGTAACAAACATGATATTCTCCAAAAAATAGCCAACCTAAATAGCTACATCAAAACGCATATGAAACAGAGTGTGAAAGCTCGTTGATGATGGTTAAAAATGGGATAAGGTATAAATTATAATTATGGGAAAATACCTTTTTTATTCTTTGCCTTTGTATACTCCTTGGCCTTCTCAACTTCTGTAGCGGCCTTCTTCATGAGAACTTTTTCCTTTTTCTCCAGCATCTCAAGAGTCTACAGCATGGAAGTCATAGTTAATGTGTAATTAATGCCACCAAATAATTACAATTCAAGAATCCTAATACAAAGTGACGCCTAAAAGTAGATATTAACATTATAGGCTAATGCTTCACACATCATTATTAATATCAAAAAAATCAGTATGATGTCTGTCCAAGTTGCTGAAGCAGGTTTCATTAATGAAACAGATAATTTTATTTAAAATATGAGCAGACTTTTGCAAGATTATAACAGTTTTCTGATTGAAAATTTTCAGCGGAAGCCACATGGGTTGTAAGTTGAAGTTACATGTCTGAAATTGTAACCCCAGTAAACCGCAGCTACTCTTCATATAGTTTGGCCTTTCACCATTAGCACTAATAATAGAACCAAGTTGGAAAGTTAATGTAGGAAAATTAAAATATTATAATAATAAAGGAGCCACCAGAGTGCAATGTTTCCATTTTTATTGTATTAAAAAGCTTTGCTTTCGTAAATGATAAAGATAGAACAAAAAACCTTAGACCATTGGAAATCTCAAGAATCACGTCATATAAATCAAATACTTAGCTCTGAAATTTTTAAAAAAACTTCAAATTGCTCCAAGGACTCAACCGCTCAATTTGAAGCTAGTAGATATCCACGATGCTAACCACCAAAACGTGTAATTACATCAACAACAACATCATCATCAAGCCTTTATCCTACTACATGGGGTCGGCTACATGAATCTTTTTTCTCCATTGTATCCTATTAAGAGTCATTTAAATCTAATAAGGAAATGTCATTTCTAAAATTTTCTAACCAAGTCTTTTTAGGTCTACCTCTATCTTTCTTAACATAAGACAAATCTAATATATCTACTCTCTTAACTGGGTCATCGGAAGGCTGTTGTTTTATGTGACCGAACCATCTAGGGCGACACACTCTCTAATCTTATCAGCCACTAGGGCTACTCCAACATCATCACGTATATGCTCATTTCATATGATGTCTCTAAGAGTAAATCCACTCATCCACCTAAGCATTCTCATCTCTGCAACACTTAACTTAATATAATGCTTCTCTTTTAAAGGTCAACACTCTATGCCATAATGTCTCACCACCATCTTATAGAATTTTTCCTTAAGTTTGAGGGGAGTAATCGAAGGTTCTTTTTCACGGCTATGTAACGATCTTTCTTCCCGTTATTTGCTTCATGTCTCGCTTCATCAGATTATACATGCTCGGTACCGCTTGGTATTGAGCATATACAACAAGCAGAATTTCAAAATTACTCTTATAATATAAATTTGTTCCAGGTCGAGCACAAAGTTTGAAGATCTTACAACAAGCAGAACCCCGCCAGGGGCAGCACCCCCTTGGATCCCCGGCAGACTTGTATATTTTTGTATTCATGTTGTTTTATTATTGGTATTTGGTAGTACAAATAATTGTTAAAATACATCATATTGTTAGCATGACTAGTGGCACAAGAAGGAAAAATCATGTATGGAAATATGGAACTTAAGTTGAAGTGTCAGGCGAAGGTGCAAAGAAGGGATATGTTTACATGAAATGTAATTTCTGTGAGAAACGCATAATTGGTGGCGTCAAGAGATTGAAGGATCATCTAGCCTGCACTCATGTCAATGTGGGACCATGTGCAAAAGTTCCTAATGATGTGAAGAAGGAATGTACAAATTATTTAAAGAAATTTGCCACCACAAAGGAGGTCACACAAAGAAATATGGAAAAGATGATAGGAAACTTTTCTTATTATGGATCACAGCATGAAGGTTCAAGTACTATAAGCCATCTAGTTTCTTCTGATCGAGGCAGTCGGGGCCCATGGATAGATTTATGCTAAATATTGATAACGACGAAAACATAAATACTCAGGATATTCAGCTTCCTACAGCTACAAAAGAACTCAGGAATAGAGTTTGTTTGGATATTGCCATATTTATTTATGAAAATGGGATTCCATTTAATGTTGTTAGGAGTCCGTTGTGGATCAATATGTTACGATCTGTTGGAAGTTATGGAAGAGGATTACAACTTCCAAGCATGTATGAGCTGAGGACTTGGATGCTGAATGAGGGGGTTAAGACAACTTCAAAAATGGTGGATGATGTTAAGAAGACTTGGATTGAGACAGGAGTGACAATAATGTCAGATGGTTGGTCAGATATTCGACATAGAAGTATTATTAATTTCTTGGTCAATAATCCATATGGAACAATTTTTCTCAAATCAGTAGATGCTTCAAGCTTTGTAAAGGATGCACAATTATTGTTTGAAATGTTGAATGAAATTGTGGAGGAAATGGGAGATGCCTTAGTAGTACAAGTTGTTACTGATAATGCAAGTGCATACAAAACTGCAGGAAGAATGTTAATGGAGAAGATGCCTCACCTTTACTGAACTCCTTGTGCTGCACATTGCATTGACTTGATGCTTGAGAGGTTAGGACAGTTGCCTCAATATAAATCAGCCATATTAAAGGCCAAATTCGTTAAGAAGTTTATATACAATCATTCTTGGGTACTCAGCTTGATGAGAAAATTCACTGACAAGGAAATTATTAGGCCTGCTGTTACAAGATTTGCTACTGCATATTTAACATTGCAGAGATTCAAGGAGTTAAGACAACCTTTGGAAGCAATGTTTGCTTCTGAAGAGTGGGATAAAAGTTCATGGGCCAAAAAACAAGAAGGAAAACAAGTTAAAAAGATTGTTATGAAAGACGATTCATTTTGGCGCAGTACAAATTATGCTTTGAAAACAACATGACCATTAGTAAAGGTGCTTAGAATGGTTGATGGTGAGAGGGTCCCGACTATGGGATTTATTTATGAAGCAATGAATAGGGCTAAAGAAGGCATTGCAAAAGAATTGGGATGTCAAGAAAGTGTATACAAAGAAATATGTGATATTATAGATGAAAAGTGAGATCGAAAATTACACCAACACTTACATGCTGCTGCGTAATATTTAAATCCCCAATTTCATTATGATAAGGATTTTCATGTTGACAAAGAGGTGAAAACTGGTTTGTATGCATGTATGGATAGACTCATTTCTGAAGAAGACTATCTCAAAGTGAATGATCAACTTGAGGATTTTCATTTGAAGAAGAGAATGTTTGGATTTAGAGCAGCACATGCATGCTACAAAACATGATCTCCTGGTATGTTTGTAGTTTGTGTATTTATAATTTTAATGTTAATATTTATGTTCAAGTCTTCAACTTCAACCAATATACATAAAATACTATGTTTGACTTCGTGTAGAACGTTGGTGGGCTCAGTTTGGAGATGATATTCCTGAATTGAAAGCTTTTGCAGTTAAAGTTCTTAGCCTAACGTGTTCGGCTTCTGCATGCGAGCGTAATTGGAGTATCTTCAATCAAATTCATACAAAGAGAAGAAATCGATTAGCGGCAGATCGAATGAACAAACCAGTTTATGTTATGTTTAACAAAAAACTGAAAGATAGACATCTCAAATTGCAAAATCAATGAAATATTGAGAATGAAAATGACCCTTTGCTTATTGATGAGTTACAATCTGATGATGAATGGGTTACTCCTAAGAATGCTGATGTATCTGAAGTTGAAGTAGAAGGAGAAAGTCATGTCAATGAAGAAGACAATGAAGCAACTACTCAAATATATAAAAGAAAGAAACAATGTGAGATTGGAGCTTCAAAAAAATTTAAAGATATTCTTAAATATAATGAATTATTTTGTATGTTACTATTATTTCATTTTAGAGCTAATGAAATATTAACTGATATATGAGATAAAGGAAAAAATATTATAGATGAAGAAGAGTTGGAGGATGACTTTGACATTAATTATGAAGTTCTTCTGAAGACAATCAAAGTGATGATGAGCCTGCTTTGGGTCTTGATCCTAAATGGATGTTTTATTTTTAAGTGAGTTTATTTTAAATCTTGTATTCCAGTAATATTATCTTAAAACAAATCTTCAAATTCATAGTTGATATAATATTCTGTTATTTTTGTCATTATTTATAATTTTAAATTAATTTATTTTAATCGTTTTAAGGCTTACGCCTCGATCCACCTCGAGGCTTACGCCTCACCTCGCTTAGAAAAAACGCCTCGATTCCTGATTTCGCCTTTTAAAACCTTGTGTGGGAAAATTAAAATATTATAATAATAAAGGAGCCACAGAGTGCAATGTTTCCATTTTTTATTGTATTAAAAAGCTTTGCTCCCGTAAATGATAAAGATATAACAAAAAACCTTAGACCATTGCAAATCTCAAGGATCAGGCCATATAAATCAAATACCTAGCTATGAAATTTAAAAAAAAAAAACTTCAAATTGCTCCAAGAAATCAACCGCTCAATTTGAAGCTAGTAGATATCCACGATGCTAACCACCAAAACATGTAATTACATCAACAACAACATCATCATATAGCCTTTATCCTACTACATGGGGTCGACTACATGAATCTTTTTTCTCCATTGTATCCTATTAAGAGTCATTTAAATCTAATAAAGAAATGTCATTTCTAATATTTTCCAACCAAGTCTTTTTAGGTCTACCTCTATCTTTCTTAACATAAGATGAATCTAATATATCTACTCTCTTAACTGGGTCATCGGAAAGCTGTTGTTTTATGTGACTGAACCATCTAGGGCGACTCACTCTCTCTAATCTTATCAGCCACTAGGGCTACTCCAACATCATCACGTATATGCTCATTTCATATGATGTCTCTAAGAGTAAATCCACTCATCCACCTAAGCATCCTCATCTCTGCAACACTTAACTTAATATAATGTTTCTCTTTTAATGGTCAACACTCTGTGCCATAATGTCTCACCACCATCTTATAGAATTTTTCCTTAAGTTTGAGGGGAAATTTTCTATCACACAATAAGCCCAATGCATTCCTCCACTTCAACCCACCAAAACATGTAATTGTGACAGAAAATTGAATTAAGGTTACTTCGCTTTCCATTCATCTTTTTCCAAGCAAGGTGCTTATTACAGAACTTTAATTTCTTATCAAATTATGATTGATTATACCAGATCAGTATTCATCGATCACATTATCTGCATATTTTGAATAATTATATAAACTCCTGCTCAACACCAACATGCTAATTAAATGTGTATAGGATTAGTTGCATAAATTTTATTGCATTTACCTTTGCACGCTTCAAATAATGTGCCTCTTTTTTTGTAGGCATTTTCTCTAATTAGCCTCATAATATGGCAGTCCTGTCACTTGCTTTATTTCAATAGTCTCAAAATACAGCACTCACCATGAAATAACTTTAAAGATTGTCAGGTTAGAGCCCAGTATTGATCTTGTTAAAAGAAATTTTGAATAAGTTGGACATTCACAACTCTACACTTGCACATCTCCAACACATTCATTATAAAAGATGGACTTTTAAAAAAATAAAAATGAAATTTCTAATCCCTCCACCACAAGATCCACACCCATTTTGGAGAACTTGAGCACATAAATGTAGGCATTATTGTGGTCGAGTAATCGCATCACAACACCACGTTACAACCAACTCACTGCACTACCTTTAATAAGCATTATAATGAGCCTTATGGCCCTCAAACTCCCCACCACCACAACCATTAACTAGCACATCGAATGACTAGACATAGAGACTCCTTCCTAAATTAAGCGCCCCTAATTACTACGCCATGCACCTCCGCATAAACTTTCACTTTGAAACCACCCACCAAGACACGAATAGATCATTGTAACCCTTCCACGAGCAATCAACATGATTCATCACGACATATCAAGATGTCCATCCTTCAACGATCCTCATGACCCTAATGCCATCCAACCATCCTCAAGTAGCTTTGAATTGAATGAAAACTTCCTAGAGGTCAATATATCTCACATTATGTCAACTCCACCTGTTAAAGCTTACTATATCTGCCAAAAGAGTCTAATGCATTCTTGTTAAAATCAAATATATTGTTGATGACCCTATCTTATCATAACTTCAAATAAAATGCACGGCCATTTATAGCAAAAAATCCTCAAAGCCTCAAAGCATGCCACAAACAACAACTCAAGCAATTCCATAACATCCTCTAAATAACTCTATGTAATTGCCTACCTCAATACTTTGAATAACTTCTCATAAGGTGTAGCTTAAATAAACCCAAGCGTGTCATCATGACAAAGTTCATGAATGGACTTCACCATGCCATCAAAATAACAAGCCATCCACTATGGCATATGCTTACTACTACACCATGAACATTGAAAAAGTGCCAACATAATAAAGCCAAAAGTACCAACATCCTAAAGCCATCTAGAATAAGTCCATCTTGGGGCAACCCTACTCTAAGTTCAACTCTCTAAAAACCACTCCACAAACTGCCCCTAAGGACATTACTAAAGCCCCTCCACCTTAGCCACATCAGGCTCCCACCCACCCTTGATCAAACATTATTGCTCCCAATACTCATGCCAAAACCAAGCTTTGACATCTTAACTTCAAGCTTGTGGGCCATATTTGAGCTCTTTCTCTACACCATCTTAGATCTTGATTGCGGTCATTCAATTGATCCGTGAGTTTTTGTCATTATCATGCATATATTTATTAAAATATTAACAATGAGTCATATGGAAGTCAAGGGGATTCCCCATCCTCGTTCAATTTGAACTAAAGTGCTTAGAAAGTGACTTGAGTATCAATGGTACTCCTAGAAGGCTAAAAGCTTAGGAAGCTGGAATGATAATGTCATTCTTTTGAGTTTATTGTATGTAAGGTCCCCTCGCTTTTGAATGAAATAAGCTCGGGTATCATTTCCATAATTATATGAGCTAACTATGCTGACATACTCCAATCATATAAGATAAATGCAAGTTCTACGGTATATATAAATACAAATTACAAGCAAGTCAATTACTTTAAGAAAACAGATGCAACCTATTACCGCAACTAGAATATAATCTACATCGATGGAGGAAAAAAAAACCAATTTTTCTCGAATCAAATCAAAAAATGGCATAAAAAAATATAAAGAATATGTAAATGAACAAAATTAAAATCCATTAAAATGTTAAACAAAATGAATACCTCATTCAACTTCTCTATAGTAGCCAGGGCATTCGTCTGCTCCTTAGGTTTCCCGAAAAGCCTGTTCAACATGCTTGCTACCTTCTAATATCTCCGCTAAGGAAGATAGCTCCCGAATTCACAATCGCCGCTGAACCCTAGTTGAACGTCGTGTTAGAGGTTGAAGAAGCAAAAGTCAGCCGATAAACTCTTACGCCGCTGATTATCAAATTTATATTTTTAAAATATTACGTGATCTTAAATTCTTATATGATGAGAGGAAAAATAATAAATAAATTTATTTTTTTAAATTATATACACTATCAAATAAGAAATATAATTAAGTGAATTTTTTAATATTATATTTATTTGACTCAGTATTATTATGTATAATATTGACCTTATTTTAAAAATAAAATATATTTTGTATGTTGTTAGAAATACATATGATCAACCATGGATATTGATGTATTGTTTTTAATTAGAAATTGCCAAATTTAAATTTAAAATTATCCAAAAAATTTATTTATGCAAACTTATCGTGAACTAAATATCTTAATTAAATGAACCTGACACTACTAAGCATTTTTTAGTCCAAAAAAGTCTAAATCAAACACTAAAGTTGAGAACTAGATGGCATTTATTATGGACTAAACAATCTTCAAATATTACGTGCTTATAGTTAAAATAAGCATCTCAATAAAAGGAATCCAATAAGTCTTATATCACTTAATTGTCAAGTCATTAAGAGACATAAATGCTCAAATAATGATTTAAGAAAAAAATAATCAATATGAGATATCTTATAAAGTGTTTTAAGATTTTGACTAAGATTATCAAGGTGTCACCCTAACAATTATAGATAGACTCTTATTCTTTAGATAAAGGGGAGTTTTTGAGCTATGTTTGGAGAGAGCCTATAGGTTTGAAGAGCTATAGAGCAATGTTCCATGCTTAACGCAAAAGATCATCAGCACCAATCATTATCATCCAACAAAAATTCATCAACAAACTATCTAATCACCATCACCAAACTATTGTACCTCATTGATTGTCACCTAATTATCATTTCTTCCCCGTTGACATTCAAATGTCATCACCCGTCAACCATTACTCGACCACCACCATTTAAATATTTTAGTTCAACCATCGTCGCATAATGCAAATGCTCGACTAACATCATTTAACTATCACCAACTAATGGGAAGATAGGAATTCTAGAACATTAATTGTGTAGTTGTTCATTAAAGAGAGGCATAATATTAAGTGTTAATTGTTGCAGAGATGAGGATGCTCGGGTGGATGAATGACTTTACTCTCATAAACAGGATCCGAAATGAGCCTATATGTGAAAAGGTTGAAGTAGTTCTAGTGGAAGATATGATTAAAGAGAGTCGCCTTAGATGGTTTGGCCACATTATAATTTTTGCTAACTTATGACCATATTATAATTTTTGCTGACTTAATCTAATCATGCTTTATTTATTCTCTCTCTCTCTCTCTCTCTCTCTCTCTCTCTCTCTCTCTCTCTCTCTCTCTCAAATATGTTATTCAAGAAGAATTCTCCAAGAGGGATAGGAATCAATGCACTACTCATCATAACATTTAAGAGGTCTCATTTCTTATTAATACAAATCTCTAGCATCCCATTTTGACAAAAGTTCAAGTTATGGTTATTTAATTCTTATGAGCAAAAAAATCATTATAATAATATCATAAATATTCAATAAAAGTTTAATATGCTCCACTAACAGATCTTTCATGACACTCTTAGGGGTTAGGCTAGAGTTTTGATCAATTATCTATTTGATGAGATTCTCTACACCTTTGTTAACTTTGCTAAGCTTCTTATTGACCAGTTTATCATAAATAGGAGGATTATCAAAGACTCGTATCATATTTTTGGGATTCACTAAAATGAGAGAATAACCTAAAGGAGTAGTTTTATATTTTCTCATTAAAGGCTTGTTAGATTCAGTCAATATATTTGAAGTGTTAGAACCCTTAAATTTTTGTAGGCTTTTTATTTTTAATATAGAGCAGTCAATAATTATTTCATGATCGAGTCATTATAGGTCTAAACCATAAACCTGATTCACCTCAGCATAAATATTATTAAACTTTAGTTTAATGAAAAATTTTCATATATTTTTGGCTTAGGTGAAATACCTTAAAAAACTGACAATTGTCGGCATAATTGGAAAATTTTATATTGTTAGCAATTCATTTTGCAAATCGGTTTCACCGGAAGGTTCTAAACATGCTTAACTAATTTATAAATATTTTTGTTTATAATTATACATTATTGGATTTGAAGATATAAAAAGATTTAGGTTAAAATTGGATAATAAATATAATTATATTATATCTTTTGAATATTTTATTATTAAAAAAAATAAAAAATGTAATGCCTTTTATTTAAATGCCATTTCGTTTGCCAAAACAGAAAACCAAGACAAAGAGCAAGAGAAGGAAATTAGGGAAAAAGAGAGGAGGGAGAGAAAATTTTGATTTTGGAGGTCTTAGAGTTGTTTTTGTCTGTTGGCCCAATTAAAAAACTTGTTCTCAATCACACTAAACTATATCGATTTTAAAAAATACATAAATTTTATCAATTTTTTTTTTAAATTTATTTTCGTTAGCAAAAAATGTGGACAAATTTGCACTAGTAAGACTTTAACTGTGTGATTTTTTATATGTTATATAGATTAAGATTATATATTTTTTGACTTTTTTTTTAAGTTTACAACGATTTTTTGAAATTTTTTGAATTTTAATGGAATGAATTTTTTTAAACAAGAAAAAAAGTATTATATTACGATAAAAAGTCTTAAAACATTGTTTTGCACAAGGGATAATTTTAAAAAGCAGCAGGTTTAAAACAGTATTATGTAAAAGGAGCATAAAGGACTAAAATTTTTAAAAAAGAGCAGATTCGCGGAATAGTTTGGCGCATTTAGAATGCTCCAAATATTTGACCGCATTCTAAATGCGACAAATAAATTGACGTATTTGTAAGAGAGAGAAAATAAAGAGTGAAGGGGAGAGGATAGGGAGAGAGAAAAGAGAAAGAGTGGCACGAAGAGAGATAAAGCTAACTGGAGAGAAAAAAATTGAGTGGAGAGAGAGAGAGAGAGAGTTAAAGCTCACGGTAGAGAGAGAGTATATTAAAAATAACATTAAATTAATACTTAAATATTTTAAATAATAAGTGCAATTAACTGATATATTATATATATGTTTTAAAGTAATTAAACTAATATTTAAATAATTTAAATAATAGTTAACTGATTTATATTTAATATTTAAATAATTATTTTAATGATAAAATGATATTAACTATTTTTATTTAAAGATATATTAATTTTATTTTTATAATTT